TGCATAAAAAACTTATGCGCACAACTGAGTAGGATAAACTATTTATTCGATAAGAAAAAATGCTTATAAACTACGATGGAAACACATTTACCGAATAAATTCCTCCATGCGTATTGAAAAAGTCATGTGACTTTGCGCTATGAGACGGGATAACTTGACTAACCAGCGGACCGATCTCATTCACAGCATCTATATGTTGTTATGGTCATTCTGAAATGCTCGAGCAAAGTCTGTTGTCAAAGTATTTCTGTATAATTGTCTTACACAACTGCGTTCCCAAGCAGCAGGCATCCACCTGCGAAAGCAATGACCGCATTTATTGTGTTACGTCTGCTCTCTCTGAAGCGCAAGTAATTTATTACATATGAAAATTATTATATTCAGTGGCTTCTCCTAGTTTTCTTAGAGATATTCAGTGTCAGTTTATCAGGAAGTGACGATTTTGTTCTCTTTGACTCGTTGGATGGAAACGGTGCTTTATTCGCAAATGTTTTATGCGATATTCCAGTTTTGCGCACAAGTTAAATTCGCATCTTTGGATGGAAACATAGCTAATATGTTTTAGAAAACTGGCAGGCCCACTAATTGAATACTGTTTTTACAGTGACCTTCACGCTATATATGTTCAAGTCGTTATATTTTTGTTTTGCTCTAATAATTTTGTGGCGTTTGTTTCAAACTATAGTGCTTTTTCTCCTCCTCTACAAAGGCTTGGCAGGTTTTGGGTACCACACAAGCAGAGAATGAGAATGAGCAGGCAGCCATTGTTTGTCTTCAGAGGTGAGTAGAAATAATGGGGGGTTTTGTGATTTATGCAGAGCCAGAAGTCTTATTCCAAACATGTTCCATGATGTATGAGGAAATTGCATTAATGTTTTAAGAGCTTTTGCACAATTAGTGGTAACAAGCCGAATTGCAAAAATATTTGTTTTCTGAACACTTTTTTTGTTTTTGTTTTTTTGTACTGTAGTCCCACTCCAAACTCAGCAACTCAGTTTTACACTCACTGTATTTTGTCATGTTATGTCTGTCTGTTTTTGTTCAAATAGATGCTTGGTGCTGCACCCAAACAATCTGAAGTCCCTGATGGCCCTGGCAGTGAGCCTGACCAACACAGGACAGCAACCAGAAGCCTGTGAGGCTCTCCACCGCTGGATTAGATACAACCCAAGATACAGACATCTACTCCAGGACCGCAGCCCTCTAGACGGTTCCCCACTGCCTCGCCGCAGAGGGTCCTCCATATCCCCCATCTCCACTCTCGGATGGTATGATTCACATTCACTCACATGAATTAACGTCCACATACTGCATATGTAAATCATATGTATGTGGTCTGCTTTTTTGAGTTTTAATAAAGGTGGGAGCAGTGTGGCATAGTGGATAAAGGTACTGACTGAAAGATTGTAAGTTAAAATTAGGAGTAGGTGATATGACCAAAATCTTATGTCACAATACATTTTTTTTTTGAAGGAATAAGTTTGTAATGTTACCGACATTTTAGATTGTGAAATTTCACAATTTTTGTTAACAGTTTCAATAACACTTTCAATACTACAGCATATATATTAGGCTAACTAATGCAAGTAATCAAGTTGTCAATATACAATCAATAGCGAAATAAGAACAAAGATACAAATGACAAGCAGTAAGACAAAGACATACAGTAGAACACTTATACAAATTTAATAAATAAAGCTTTACATGTTTCAGGTGTGTCTAACAGTAGTATTCAAGCACGAAATACTACAGAAATGTAATGATCAAATTTAAAATAAAACACTATAGTAATCATTGTATGAATTATTTTTTATCCTTATTAAAGCTATGAAAGTTATTCAGTCGAGCAATGAGTGATTTTCTCTTCTTTTGTTGTTTGATTAACAATAATGACACAGACAGCAGCAGGTACAGTATATTAGGCTGCTGTCACTTTAAGACTTAACACATGGATCCAATATGTTGATTAACATTTCTACCACGTGTTTAGGTTCACTTAACCATATAATATGACCAACTGTGTTTGTGTGAATACTCGCCAAGATCAGCATTTTGACATGTTATTGTGTTCATTTGGCCATTAAAGGGGTCATGAACTGCCTTTTTTAATTACTTTGTACTGTTCTCCACTTACAAGGTCAACTTATAATGTTATCAAGATTTTTACATAAAAAAACATGATAATTTATAAGTAATAGGCTATTTTCTGTCCTGTTTTGACCCCCATCATTGGAACGCTCTGTTTGAATAGGCGTGGCGGATTGTAGAATCGGAAGTAAACACCCACTGGTATGATTGGCTAACAGTTGTGTATGTTTGATAGCCTACATCCTTCATAGATGGATGGTGCTGTGATTTAGGTTAAAAACGCATAAATACTCAATACATATCAAACAATCTGTAATAACAGACAAAGCAATAGTGACCACGTAATAAAAACAGTTACTCACACTTGTGTGGTGCAACATTACTGTCGGATCCAATATAGTCACACAGCATCGTCTTTTAGTTTCAATCTTTCTGAAAATCCTGTGTCAAATTGTGCCTTGTTTGTAAACGAATCCACGGTAAAATGAGGACCAAGCTCTTACTGACGTGGTCTGGATCTTCATTAAAAATAAAGTTCTGAAATTTACAGGATGTTTTTATAGTACAATGACGTCTTATATGTCAAATGATCAAGGGAATTTTAATTTCTCAGTTCATGAGCCCTTTAAAGAAACTCACTTGTCAAACACTGTGCAATTGCTGAATTGAGTTCTCATTCAAGTAAGTCGCACTCTTCATTTTCTCATTCATTTTTCTTTATTGCTCTGACATGTCGATAACTTTAAGCAGTCATGCCTGCACAGATATTGTGATAGAATCAATGTAGCGAAATCTACTGTATATTGATTGACAATTTACATTATCGCCACTATATATATCGTCATATTGCCCAGCCTGGTTTAGACTTTGGCTTTGTTTAGTGTTTTGCTAATGCTGTTGCGTGTGTGTATGCAGCTCTCAGCTGGTGGAGGTGTTGGAGCTGTATCAGGAAGCAATGCAGCAGAATGCTGAAGGAGTGGACCCTGATCTCCAGACAGGCCTTGGTGTGCTCTTCAACCTCAGCTCAGAGTTTGACAAAGCTGTCGACGCCTTTAATGCTGCACTTTCTGTCCGACCTGAGGTGAGCCAGAAGGTCCTATTCATCACTATTTTAAAAGCTATCACAACTATCTGTTATGCACATTGATTTAGTAGTTCATGCATACAAAATATAGCAATTGATTTGGGGGCAGGGTTGTTATAAATATAAATATAAATATTTTCAATATCAAAAGTCAAAGTAAGTATCTTGTGTGGCTACCAGCTGCTTTAAATACTACAGTGCATCTCATCCTCATGGACTGAAACAGATTTGCCAGTTATTGCTGTGAGATGTTAGTACCCCATTCTTACACCAAGGCACTTGCAAGTTCTTGAACACGTCTGGGGCGACACATGCTTACACATGGTTTGATGCTGCAAGGACATCAGCTGTCCTTCCGGTGTCCCCGTATTACTGTTTTAGGCTGTCCAATAAAGATCTGTAAAGCTTATTTGGATTTTACAAAATTATTTTAAAAATATAGTATCCTGAGAAAGGGATACAGTGGGTACGGAAAGTATTCAGACCCCCTTACCCCCAATTCCAGGTGTGAAAAACTTGTTGCATTTTTCCCAAAAAGACTCATGGCTGTATTAGATCAAATGGGTGCTTCTACTAAATACTGAGCATTTTTCAGTTTTTCTTTTTTAATAAATCTGCAAAGATGTCAACAATTCTGTGTTTTTCTGTCAATATGGGGTGCTGTGTGTACATTAATGAGGAAAAAAAATTAACTTAAATGATTTTAGCAAATGGCTGCAATATAACAAAGAGTGAAAAATTTAAGGGGGTCTGAATACTTTCCGTACCCACTGTATTTCCTGACATGCTTCAGCAGTATAAATGCACAGGATAGTGAAAAAATAAACTAGACACAGGTGAGGAACATAATTAGTAACCAAGGGAAAAAAACATTGATTGAAACCTTGATAACCAAGGAAACAGTAACTAAACACAGGAGCTCAGAGATCACTAACAACAGAACAAACAAAAATTCAACATACGAGTCCTTGAGAACAGAGAAGTGATAAATATAATATAATAGAGTAATGGGCTGGGACCAAGCTAAATTGCCAATTCCTTTGTAAATTATATCCCTGGTTTATTGGACTTTCCCAGCAAGCAGAGAGAAAATCAGGGATGCAGCCTTGGTCTATTATGCCCCAAAGCAATGGAACACACTACAAATAGATATTAACTAAGCCAGCTTACAAAATATTTTTAAAATAAAGTTAAAAACTTTACTCTTTACTTCAGCTTTTAATTAGCATGTAATTTTGTAAGTGTGTTATGTTGTGTATTCTTAATAATTTGGGTTTAATTGTAATTTTTAAAAATGTACTTTTTATGATTATTAATTTTATTTTTTATAAAGTGGGTTTAATTTATTAATCTTATGTTATATTATGGTATTTTTTCTTGTTTCATGTGAAGTAATGCTTTTTTAATGTAAAATATTTTGAGCTGCATTCCTTGTATAAAAGGTGCTATTGAAATAAAGTTTATAATATAATATAATATGATAAGTATATGTGTCCAGTCTTTATAATGCAGAATAAAATAATACTGTAGAATTCAGAAAATGTTCGCTTTTTTATGTTTTAAATACATTTTGTAAACATTTGCTTTTCTCTGAAACTTTCCATAGACTTTCCAAAACCCATGTCCTAGATTGCCCTTTACTCTGCCAATTCTGTGTTTTCGTAGGACTATCTGCTGTGGAATCGCCTCGGGGCCACACTGGCAAATGGGGACCGCAGTGAGGAGGCAGTGGAGGCCTACACCAGAGCTCTGGAGCTCCAGCCAGGCTTCATCCGTTCGAGATACAACCTCGGCATCAGCTGCATCAACCTAGGGGCACATAGGTAATGGACCGAACCACTGAGCAAGGGTTGATGGGAAAGAACTGTTTGTCTCCTTAGTGTGGCTATAATTAGGCTAAAGCAGAAGGCTGGGAAAAAAAATTAAACTTTCAATTTTGATGATAGCCTGTTTGACCTTTCTCTTTTCTCTTGCAGGGAGGCAGTGAGGAACTTCCTGACAGCTCTGCACCAGCAAAGGAAGAGCAGGAGTCATCAGGTGATGTCCAGCAACATCTGGGCAGCTCTGCGGATTGCCCTCTCCCTCATGAACCAACCAGAACTTTTCCAGGCAGCCAGCGTGGGAGATCTGGACCTCCTAATGAGGGCCTTTAACATGGACATGTGATCAAACTTGGACCTGTGAAATCTATCATTCACGTACAGTGGGCACAAAGTTAGGCTCAAATGAATATGGGATGTCAATATGATATGCACAGCTAATTTTGTTGTATTTATGGGCAGCCTTTGCCTTCTTCAGAGGTCACTAAAGAGGGTGTTTATATTCTATAGACCACAAACAGAATAGGTGATGGGTTTTGGAAGTAGAGGAATAAATGTCAAAGAGAGTGAGAGCAAAAGCACCTTTTTCTTGATGTTAGTTATATTTTACTGTAATATTTTGAAGGTTATCAGAAAACTTTGTATACTTTAGAAAAATTAACCAAACCTCGGGAAATATAGGGGGAATTTTGTTTAGTTTGTGGATTAGAACTGAGTATTAATCCTTTCAAAAACCTAGCTATTTATCATGGCCAGTTCTGAAGAACCTTTGTTCAATTTGAGTGTTTTTAATCTGTTCATTTTACAATGTAAGTGTCTCACCACAAGGTGGCGCTGTTGTTTTGCTGAAAAGAGCATAGCCATATATCCAGACAGTTAATCCTCTATTAAAGGGATAGTTCACCCAAGAATGAAAATTTGATGTTTATCTGCTTACCCCAGGAAATTGTGAAATGTTGCCTTGGTAAAACTAGCAAAAACATTTTTTTTTTAGTATTATATTTAATTTCAGTTAAGGTTCATTTTATTTTTAGTTACGAAATGTTTTTAATATAGTTGTTAATTAACTGTATTAAACCTGATACATACACAGTGTAAAAAATTGAACCACCTGAAATACATTAAAGTCATTTATACACATATACACAGTGTAAATAAATTATAATATAAGTTATAATATTTTAGTTATATTACATAAAGTTATTACATAAACAGAACATATATTTATTATTTAGATTTATTATTTATTATTACATTTGTTATTATGAATACATATATAATTATTATATATTATAAAAATGTCTGTTTTTGTTGAAATTAGAATGATTTTTGATTAAAAAAGACTAATAAAATAAATAATTGTAAACTAGTATTTATAAGTAAAATAACATAAAATCATTGATCTGTAAAAACATGCATGTATACTAATTTGTCAATATTTATGGTCAGTTTGCCTTTTTTTGATTTTTGTCTACATAACAAATTTCAAGCATTTAAACAAACATCTTTAGATTGAAATAGTTTAATATCATGAGAAACATAAATTCAGCGAAGTGTGTCCAGACATTTTACTGATTGTTTACATGAATTCCTGATTTCCAATTAAAGTATTAAAGGGATAGTTCACCCAAGAATGAAAATTTGATGTTTATCTGCTTACCCCCAGGGCATCCAAGATGTAGGTGACATTGTTTCTTCAGTAGAACACGTATGATGATTTTTAACTCCAACCGTCAGTATAATGCATGGCAATGGTAACAAAGTCTATGAGAGTAAAAAAAACATGCACAGACAAATCCAAATTAAACCCTGCGGCTCGTGACGACACATTGATGTCCTAAGACACGAAACGATCGGTTTGTGCCAGAAACCAAACAGTATTTATATAATTTTTTACCAAAGTTAAAAATCATCAAATGTGTTCTACTGAAGAAACAAAGTCACCTACATCTTGGATGCCCTGGGGGTAAGCAGATAAACATCACATTTTCATTCTTGGGTGAACTATCCCTTTAAGCCCAGTGATGCCAAGTGTAGTGTGAGGAATGATGCTAGCTGAATTTCACTTTAGGACACTTCCTTTCAGGGTGATCTGTGCTCAGGTGTGCAGGCAGGGCGTGTTCCCCAGGCCATCTGTCTTCCAGCAAGCCCCTTTTAATGCTGCGTGCTCCAGGGCATTCTGGATCAGGGCTCGGTGGGGAGCAACTTCAAAGACTCTGCATGAAAGGTCACAGCAAAAGCAGTATCATGTTGAAAGTGAGTGAGTTTATGTAAGACCGTTAGCCCAAACATTTAAAGGGACTAAATACATTCACAAATCTATGAACAATGTTTTGGTCATATATTTCAGTTGTTTGGCCTGGTAAGTTTGAAGTGCATTTCATGTGACTGAAATTGCTTTCTCTCTCTCTATATATAGAGCAGTTTCTAGCAAAGAAGCCATGTGCTTAGAACAGTTATGATTTCAGCTCCTTTATATACTATTAGGCTGGATATTTTCTTTGAAGACATAACTATGCAAACCAGCAATTTATTTATTTTTTTATTTTTTTTGCTAAAATTACCAAAAAAAATAAATCTTTGGTGTCTTTATAATTTTGCTACTATGCATTATGAGTAAAGTTGGTGTAACAGGAGTTAGCTGAGATAATTGAAGGGCACTGAATGAGAGAGTATTTAAAGACATAAATAGCATTAATCATCTTAATAATTTAGTTTGGGCAAAGACAGATAAAGTTGCTTCATTAGATGCACCTACAATTTAAATATTACAAATTAAATCTGATGATTGCATGTATGATACACAAAACAGATTTCCCTCTATGGTCCCATATTTGAACTTTAAAGTGAATGTAACTACTATTAATATAATTTTTTTGACAGACCAAAATTCCAACACAAATCTACTATATATATGACAATATTTACAATCATATGCCATGTATGAGCACAGTATGCGGGCATTGATGACACTTGTCTTGTAGTAAATCACACTAGTTTTGCTATGACCAGAGCTGTTATGTAACTATGAATATAATTACTGACAAATAATTGTAGAATAGCAGGAGGAAATGTATTTATTTATTTGTAAAATAGATTATTTCATGGAATGAACAGTCATAAAATGTATGCATGTCTACTCATCATTTATCATCTTTCAATCCTACATTAACATGTAATATAATCAAGATGCATTTATAACCAATTTATTAAAGTTGTATTTTAGAAGAACGGAAATATGTTTATGCCTCTGTGTTTCCTTTCTAAACTAAGGGCACATGGTGATCCCTGACCTTTAAATGATTTAGAAATGGTGTTACCGGGGCACCCCCCCACAGGCACATACTGAACACTGCTTTCCCTTCTGTTTGAAATAATGCAGTGATACAAATGTCAACTTTAATCCATTATATTACACAAATTAAGACATAACCCTGGATGACCTTAAATACTGTAAGCATAAGATTTGATATGGGTTATCCACAATTTTTTTTCTCCACAAGTTGAAATTTTAGACACCTTACATCAACAAGGCTCTGAAAATAAAGCTGTGTGGTTGAAAAGGAGAATGGCTTAAATTAGTTTATGGATTTCTTTAGGATTTTAGGGAACGGTGAGGATGTGAGGTGGATGACTTAGCAGCTTCATGTGTCATATCATCCTCAGATATATAGTGACTCAAAATACTTCCTTTGTAACTGGAATCGCTTTAGTGCTGTCAGTACCTTTGGATGGATATATGGAAATTCTCAGCCCTTAATTTGACTTTTGACTGTCAAGGCTGATTTGCTTTTGTGATATTTGAGCAGTTTTGAATGAGCAGTTTTCTAACTAATATCAAATGCGATACATAAATGCAAATATGATGTTCATCCAGTGGAGCAGGATGTGTGAAATCAAGCTAGTGGGCATGTTTTAATCAGCAAATTCGGTACAAATTTGTCTGAATATAAACATAATTAACAGCAAGCGGTTCAATGAAGCACTTGAAATGAAAGTGTTGGCAATGCACTACATGGAAAAGATTTCCATTTTAATAAATTATTGACAGGCCTTTATTACGTTGTGATCCTACATTCAGCAATCATTCCTGCTTTTTGTGCGTACGCCCAGATTATGTGAACAAATGGTAAATAATTAAATATGGTAAATATTGTTCTGTTTAACACATTCTCAGTTGTGACACTGTCCAAATGAACAGACAGTGACATCTACTGTCTCTTTAAGACCTCATCTTCCCACTTTTCACTATTCAACCTCCCCCATCCAGCCCCACCTTGTCACCACTAGCAGCTCTCAGTGTAGATGTGCTGGCTGTTAACTAAAGTCCCCACTGCTTATCCCGGTGGCAGTGCTCCCATCAGCACATACTCTACAGAGGGAGTCGGGTGCTTCCACTGACCGACCTCTCACTGGTGGACTTCAACATACTAGGTAATACTAAATGTCAGTTAATACTGGTTTTGTAATTTAATTACTCTTTTATTTGAGTGCTCTAGACAGTGTTTATAGATCAGTAGGAGTGAGATGATGAAGTAGTGATTGAGTAGTTTGCATTTATTAACCCATGGAATGCCGCAGATGGCTTCATTCTTGTCAGTACTGCCTAATGCATATTTTTATTTTGACCATAAATATTATATGATAATTGCATTCAAACTTAAATTCCAAATAACTCTTTATTTTTTTTAATTAATTAATTTATTTTTGGACAAATTGCCTCTGAAATAAAAATTCACTCTGAGAAGTGGAAAATTGGCAACCACCCAATGTACCATGTGGCTTAAAAAAAAGTGGGAATCTTTTGACTTTATTCTGTGACAAAGTACACTTAAAAAAAGCCTTTGCTGTACAATATCATAGATCAGCATTTTTTTTATAATTACCGAAACTAGTAGATTACATATAGATTAACACAATTATGTATTTACTTTATAATATTTTTTTTTCTATTCTCAAAGATTTTTTCTTCTAAGTCTGCATACGCATTGTTACAAATCAAATGCCTGTGACACGGTATCCACATGTATCAAACTACTTCAGTCATTTTTATAATTGAGGAAGCTGATAGCCAGAACCATTTCAAGCGCGGGTGACTCGAGTAGGTAGCCGTAGATAAATGTCAAACTATTTTGATAAAAACACATTGGCTTCATGATAATATACTATATAAAGTAATAAGAGACATAATATACACAGTTTTTCACAGGTACACTGAATATATTCTGTTAAAAACACTAAAATAATTTATCCCCCCCCTTCATCCAATTGTTGCCATGCTCTCAATATCAGTATGGGTGTGGTAAGCGCTCTGTGAATTGCCTTGAAACTAGTAGGCTACATTTGGCGCCTGATGCCTCGTTTTGGATATAAATAATACGAAATGAGAGCGTTAATATTTTGAATAATAATAATAATAATAATCTGCTCACCCCTACAGGCGGTAGGAGGATTTTGTAGTGTTGTTACTTCAGGTAATGTGTCAATGTTTGTGTGGTGGTCTGGAGTAACTGGCATGATACAGTCACCGTTTGCTAGCCACTGTGCTAACCAAAAATAACCAAATCATAAGATAACTCTGTGATTAACTTGACGGATGACAAATCTGCAGGGAAGTGTTCTTTTATACCTTTTGTCGCGTAAATAATGTCTTATAGGGAGG